ACAGAGACTGGATCAAGAGAGTGTACCTGCCCACCAATCACTCCCAGCTCCAGGAGGCTTATGTGTATGTTACCAAGAGACTGCGTGAGTTGGAGGAGCAGTATGAGTTCAAGATCACCTTCCGCAGTTGTGGCTATGGCCTTTATATCTGGATAAACTTGAAGACATTACCAGAACCACGTACATTTTTTTTTTTGGTACCAGGGATCGAACTCAGGTCCTTGCGCTTGTGCAGCAGGCGGCAAAACCACTGAGCTACATCCCCGGCCCCACAACCATGTACATTTGAAGAACTGGTCCTCCACTGCTGCTTCCTGGACCACAGACCACAAGCTGATATTATCTCGTGGCAAATCTTACATATTCAAGGAACCTGGCTGGTTTCGCCTCATGTTTGCAGAAAATTCCCAGCGACTAAGAGAAGGCATGGATCGGTTTGGTCAGGCGATAGAGGAGCAGAAGCAATACTGGATAGAGAGGATGCTGGAAGATGCAATGAGGACACAGGCTGTTTACCTCATCACATGCTCAGGGTCCCTGGTATCAGCCTCTGGTCCACAAGGCTGGGGCCTGAACTGGTGCTGAGACCACACAAGTGGATTCCTCTAGGGACGATAGCTCCTGACTCAGTCATCAACCTCTTTAAACTGAGCATCTGTCATCTTTGGAAGCCTTGTATCTTTTTAATCTTTGCTAGCCATTGTGTATATAAAATAATGCTTTTATTGGGGTAACAATGGAGGGCATAGAGGTGCCCGGAGAGATCAAGGGAGCTCTCTGGGTCTCTTTTTAAGTGATTTTATTTTTCTATTCAGTGTCTAGTAAATTCTGTATTTTCTTAAAAAAAAAGAAAGAAGCGGGGCTGCTGTTGGGGGGAAGGGAGCCCCCACTTTCGAGCTGCAGATGGAGACAGAGACACAGAGACGGAGCCTAGGAGGTGAGAGGTGAGGGACTGAGGACAGGGAGGTGCTTCTCTGTGGGAGCCACAGGGTCCCCAGCCCCTGCCCTTCAAGCCACTCAGGTCACCTGGCCCCACCAAAGTTTACATCTTGGGAAGAATAATGAAGGTTGGTCACTAATGGGCTTTTGAGAGTTGTCACCCTCTCGTCAATAATTATAGAGCTTTAATGGGGCTAATTCAGAGAAAATCAAGCCCGAGCCCCCACTGAACATCCCCCAGCTCAGCTGGCAGAGACTGACAGCCTCATTAGGACCTTGGCTTGCAACCCCACTTGCCTGACCCACACACCCTTGGGAATAGTAAATCTTGTCCTGGCTTTTTGTGTATGTGGAGAAAAAGTGTCATCCTCTAAAGTCATTTCTTTTTTAAACCCTGTGGTAAGAACCACAGAAAATTGTCAAGCCTGAGTTGAAGGCATTTCATAGTTGGGGAAATGGAGGCACTAAGTTAGGTAGGCACTGCAGGGGGAACAGAGAAGTGACCTAATGTCCCTGCTTCTTAGGAGCTTAGGGACAGAGGTTTAGGACTTTTACAAATCTCTTCCTCTGGTTTAAATTGTTCAGAGGCTCTCTATCACTTCCCAGACTCAGTTCAACCTCCTCGGTGCGGCATTCAAGACCTTCTGTGATATGACCAGTTGGCCTCATCAGCATCTCTTCCCTTGCCTCAGGCACTTGTCTCTAGCATTGTACCTCCACTGGCCTCACAGCCCCGCCCTCCCTCCCTCCCTTCCTTTTTTTCTTTTTTCTTTTTGAGACAGGGCCCTGCTATGTTCCAGACTGGCTTCTAATGTGCAGTGTAGCCCAGGCTGGCCTTGAACTTGCAATCCTCCAGCCTTATCCTCCCAAGCGCTAAGATTACAGGCGTGCATCACCACAACCGGCTGGGCTGTTCTGATACTTCAGTACCAGTGCACACAGCTGTCCCTCCTCCTCCTTCCACTGCGCCAGCCTGGTTCTTCCTGTTCCCGGCCTCAGAACAAGGCCTCCCCATGGAGGTCCGCTGAGCAAGCCAGAACTTCCTGTGGGGCTCCTGCCTCCCCGTCCCTCACTGTGTGGCCACTCCTTTGTCTTGGTTTCCACGGACACCCTGAGGTCAAAGGTTGTGTTCCAGGTTGCTTGTATCTCTGGGCTGAGCACAGTGCCTGACACACAGCTGGTGTGACGTGGAGTGTGAAAAAAGAACACGACAGGGCTGGCCAGACAAGATCATGTCCCAAAGCGGCTCTGGGTTCCGAGGAAGGGGAGCCACTTTCCGTGGAAACTGGGCTCTGCCCCCAGCCAAGGAGAACCTGTGGGGCCGACCCAACAGGGACTCCTCCACCTCACTCTCGCTCCAGACCTGCACGGGCATCAGTGCTGACCCAGCTCCAGGGGGAAGGCTGCATGTGACGCCATTCTGGACAGTGAGACCAAATGACAAGTCTCCGGGAATTTCTAGGAGAGGTTTCCCTGATCTTAAACTGAGACACGAGAGAGAAAACTGGTCCCTTATCAAACCGCAGACCTTATTACTGGTACATGTGATGCTGGACCCACGGCAGCCACCTTAGACCACGAGGGTCCTGCTTGGCTGATGGACACAGACTCCTCCCTGGTTTGCACCTGGACATGCTCACCCACACACTTAGAGCAGGAACTCGGCTCTGGTTTTCAGCCTAGGAGGAAAAGGGTCGGCTGAGTGGACAGAGGCGTTGCCACTGCTGGTGCCGAGGAGCTGCCCTGGGAACCACCCACTGTCTTGGAGTTGCTTTTCCACCACCTGCAACCCAAGGCACCCTAACCGTTACAGCCTTGACAAACAGAACAGGGCTCCTTCTGCAGGTAGAGAGCTGGAGGGGCAGCTCGGCGGCACGTGGCTGGAGGGTGACATGCCAGCTTGCCCCTTCCATGGGATCTGCTGGGAACCCGGGGACTGTGTGCCAGAGCTCCGAGGTGACCAATAAGGGCCAGGCTTCGGGGGGAAACACACAGCACCTCACATCTCACTCTGGACAACAGAGCAACCGCCCTAATTTCTTTTTGTCAGAACAGAGATAATCCAATAATTAGGGCAGCAAATAGCATAACCCTGGCTAAAGCCATAATGAACCATCTGGCTTGAATCATTTAGGCTTATTCTAGGGATCTGGCTGTCATAGCCCAGAAGGGGCACCGCCCAGGGTGGCTGGCGGAGGGTGGTCCAGTCCCTGCCCTGTTCTCTCACCCAGGGGAGCCCAGATTTCTATGCTCCCAGCAACTGACAGGATCTGAGCCTAGGGTCAGCTGCCTTGACGGGGAGAGGCTCAGCCCTGCTCTTTCCGTCATCTCTCCATTGTGTGCCTGGTGATATGGGTGTGGTCATACCCCAGTTTCAACTGGCAACGCTATGTATGCCCAGAGCTGCTTCATACTGCTGACCCTATGTGTGCCACCTGTGTGCTCTGAGCCCAGGGACCCAGGCCTGTCCTCCTTTACCCCACTCCCTGGTGCCCTGACTGAGCTTTCTGTTGGGCTGATGGACTGACAGGAGGTGCGGCTGCCAGCCCGAACTTTGGATGCTCGGGTTCCTTCCTTACCTGTGGGCTCACAGCCAATAGAAATGACCAAACTTCTCCCCTTCTGGCCATGTGTCACCCGGAGGGTCCTCAGTGGCCCCAGGAGGGTGCCTGCCACTCAGGCAGAAGCGTTGCCCATCCTGCTCACTCCCCTGGCAAAGCAGCCAAGATGCTCATAATGGGGACAAATTCCCTGCCCTGTCTTCGGGGGTGGCTTTGGATCCAGGGAAGCAGGCAAGGGGAGGGAGATGACGGCTCCCAGCCGCATGCCCCCAGGCGAGCCCTCAATGAGCCAGAGGCCCAGAGGACTGTGGCCCGGCCTGGGGAAAGAAGTGCACAGCAGGTATTTTCCCCACAGAGGAAAATGCCTCTGAGGCGCGTGGACCCAGATGGCCGATGGGCCACCCGCAGGTGGGGCGGAGAGGGCTCTGCGCCTGGGACGCACTGCTAAACCCCACTTTCAGCTTCCGGCGGCACGTGTTAAGCCCAGAGGCCCGGCTGAGGGCCAAGCCCGGTGCAGCCATCATTGCTACGCTGGGAAGGGGGTGGGCGGGCCCTGGGGAAACCCGCGCCGGACCCGGGCGCTGCAAAGATCATATCCCTGGCCCGGCTGGTTTTTGACGCTGGTTTTCGCTGGACTAGTGATGAGGCTGGGGCCACAACGAGGCTGAGGGTCTCCCACGGAAAGCCACCAAGCCCCACCCCCGCCCCACCCTGTGCAGACCGATCGGGAATGGGACTGCAGCTGCTTCTCGCCTCGCTTTCCCCTATAGTTCCAGTTCAAGCAAGGAGGCATGCTCAGAGACCGCACAAGGCGCCAGGAGCATCCACTGGCCGGGCCTCGGCCGGAGGGACCCTGGCACTTGCTTGCTCCCTGGGCTCCATCCCCAAAGGAGGGGGCGCGGACGGGGGGGGGGCTGCCTCGGGGAAGCGGGCGTAACAGGTGGCGAAGGTCGGCTGTCGGGAGAGTGCGTGGCGGGGTCCATGAACGCGGGAGGAGGAACCGCCAAGGTTTTTCCAAAGGACAAGCGGCCCCGCTGTCCTAGTCCTCGGCCGGCGCACCAGCAAAGCCGCCGCGCCCGCTGGGGAAGCCGGGCCGCCCCAGCCCGGGCCCCTCCTCGGCCTGACCCTCGGCCGCGGGGCACCCCGATAGGGCTCGCAGGCGGCGAGCGACCGTGCGGCCCCGCAGCAACTGGTGTCTCCCCGGGGCGCAGCTCCGCCCTTCCCGGGAACAAAAGCCGCCGCCCGCGCCAGAGCTCCGGGAGGGTGGGGCAAAAGGGGGCGCAGCGCGGTTCCCGGGGGCCGGGCCCGGAAATGGGACGCCCCCAGAGAGGGCCCCCAAACTTCCCACCTCTTCCGTCCGGGTCTCGGGAGGTGTCGGGCGGGTCTGCAGGGAGCGCACGGAGCCGGCGAAGGGTCGCGGCCGGCAAGCGGGGATGCTCGCCGTGGAGGACGCGGGCCGCGCGAGGGCCGGGGCCGGGAAGCCGCGAGTTGGAAACTTACTGCAGTCGTCCGACTCGTAGCCGTCGGCGTCCGGCTCGTCCTCGGGCGGCTTGGCGGGAGGCCGCGCGGGGCTGGGGCCGGGGCTGGGGCCCGGGCTGGCGCCGTAGGCTCCGAAAAGCCGGTCCACATCCTCGTCGTCGTCGCGGGCGCCGTCGGAGGGTCTGCGGCGGCCGGCGCTGGCCGCGGTCGGTCGAGCGGCGGCGTCCGGGGGCGCCTCGGCACGGGGCCCGGAGGCCGGGGGCAGGCCCCGCGGGAAGCGGGGGAAGTAGTCGGAGATCTGTTTGATGGGCCGGATGGGGCCGGGGCACACGTCGATGGCCATATGCTCCTGGATGCTGATGGTCGCCTTCTCCCCGCGCCGCCGGAGGGTCATGCAGGCAGCGCCGCCCCGCCCGGGCGCAGCCCGGCCCGGCGCAACCCCGGGCCGGGGGCGGCTCAGCAGGCCCGGCGGGGCGCAGCGGGGGCTGCGGGCATAGCGGGCGGCGCCCCCGGACGGCCCTGACGCGGCTGCCGCCTGCTCGGCGGCGGCTGGCGTGAGTGAGTGCCAGGGGCCGGCAGGCAGGGGGCGGGCCCAGCCCGCGTCACCCGGTAGCAACCAAGCAGTGTGAGTGTGCAGGCTGCGCGGGCGGGCGCCGAGCGAGCGGAGCGAGCCAGCGCCGCCACATCGCACTCACACGGCGCGCACGCCGGCCCGGGACCCTGCGCGCGCACACACGCGACAGGGCGGCGAGGCCACCCGGGCGCCTTCCACGCGCGCACTCTTTTAGGACAAGCGCGGAACTAGCCGAGCAGAGACTCACAGGACGCAGACTCACAGATTCCCGCCGTGTCAACACGTACTGGGCTCTGTTCACTCATAGGGGACACAGGCAAGTGTGCAGGGGCACTCCAAGCACGCACAAACGTGTGCAGAGATACTTAGTGGAAACAAGTGCAGGATAGGCACACACCAGAAGTGCACACACAGTTGGTGGAGGATTCGGGGGCACAGTACGCCTCCCCAGGGCATGCCCTCACACTCCTAAGCGAACACTCACACCGATGATCAAGGGTTCCCAAGGCACAGTCTTCCACGCCCCCAAGCACACCTAACAGGACACACACAAAAGCCATCAGGGGACCAGGGCATGGCTCCTCCTCATCTTGCAGCACACAGGCCCACCCACATTCCTACCGTAGGAATTCGGAGACAGGCTGTTCAGGCACAGGTACAGCCTGTGCACACGTCCTCTTAGGTCACAAACATGCACACAGTAACTTGAGTCAGTCCCCACTTGGTCAGTGAGAGGTGTGAAGGGCCCATGGGACAGGCTGGATGAGGACCTGGATCAAGGCTTGCTCAGGAGGCTGAGGGCAGGCAGGCCTAGGAGGAAGGACCCTTCTCCTGCCTGAGGAGTGAGGGGGGAGGGGAAAGGCAGGACCAGCTGCCCCCACCCCCCAGGCTTCCCGTGGTCAGATGACTGAGCAAATCCCAGACAGCCCACCCTAGTTCCTCCCTAGCTGCCGTCCCGCTTGCTGGGAAGGGAGCTCTGCTGGGAACAGGCTGTTGCTCATGCAGGTGTCCTGGGAAAGCCCCGACACACGGATGGAATCCTGTTTACTCTCTGGTTTCCATTCAGAGATGCTTATCTTCTAGGCCAAGCTCCTCCTGTGAGTCTAAAGGAGGCACCTGACACTCCCCACTTTCCCTGTGCTCCAAGCACCGTAGGCCCTGAAGAGGGCAGGGAGCAAAAGAAAGAGAGGAGAGATGGTCTCCTGGATGCCCCCAGCTGCATCGTTGTGGCAGGTCATTGGATCTGACTCTCCTCATCTGTGAAAAGGGGCTAACCCCAACCTTCTGAAGGGAGGCATTGTGGGGAGGCCCCATCTAGCACTGAATATAATAGGTGAGAGATGCTCAACAAGTCTGGCTTTCTCTTCCAACCTTTCTCTGGGGATATGACACACAGTGAGAAGTGGCAGAGAACAGCATGTTGTTTCATGTTAAGTTCTGAGCTGGATGATGGTGGTCACTCTTCGTGTTACATAGTGCCAAGACCATTCACAGTTATTGTTTTACTGGTTCCTTTTACTACCCATGATATAGTGGAGCACCCTGCTGCCATTCTGCAGGTAAGGAAATGAAGGCTCAGGCATAGGGGTCTACTGGCTATTGGCACAGCTGGGGTTAGAACCCAAGGTTATTTGACTCATTTGATGTTTCCACTCTCTCTTCCCCTGATCCCCTTACCCACCTCCACACACACAAGCTCAAGGGGCTCAGAGCAGGTGTGGGCACACAGGTGAAACCTTCCCAGGGCTGCTGGACAGGGACAGTTCAGCTGAGGGGGCAGGGAAGGGGCTGAGAGCTTGAGGGACTACAGTGGGAAAGACCCAGCCTGGGAGCTCCTTGGGACAGTCTGGGGTCCTGGTGGAGTTCAGCTTTCCAAAGGTCAAAGGCCAAGGGAAGGACAGAAGAGCTTGGACTTAATGGGGTCCTCATTCTAGCAAGACTTAAGGGGATTAGTCTGTAAATAGGCACACAGTGAATTTTTCCATGCCACAGGTGGCTGCATCATAAAATGATTATGTAATGATATAGATAGTAAAATACTTATGCAAACATAGAACTGTCATTTCATAATTCCTTCACTGAGCAGCAAGAGGATCTGGTCATCACCTTGTACATGGGGAAACTGAGGCTTCAGGTGGTTGAGTGACTAGCAAGATGCAGACTGGGGACAGAAATCCGGACATATTAACTCCCCACCCTGTGCCCTTTTACTATCAAGGTCTTGTCCCTGTGTTGACTGGGGGTGGGGAATGGAGGAGGGGTCCAACCTCCCCCTCCTGGCCTCTTGACTTTCTGTGGATCTGGCTTTTTGGAGGGGCAGCTCACAGCTCTTAGCTCTTCAGCAACTGGCTCTCAGGAAGGGCCTCGAAGAAGTAGGAGTAGAAGGATTAAGCCAGAGACTTGAAGCATCTGAAGCACTAAGCCAGGGACCCCAAGATTCCTCCTGGAGAAATGCATGGCATTTGTGGCAGCATTGGGATCCATTCTGAGCCTGCATTTCTGCATCCCTGACCCCAGCTGAGATGAGTGAGGTAACATGAAGGGGTAGAAGTGGACGGTTGTGCAGTTTCTAGAAAGAGCATGGGCTGGAGAGTGAGACAGAAAACTTGGATTTAAAAGTGTGTTTGGGCTGGGGATTTAGCTCAGTGGCGCCGTGCCTGCCCCGGTACCAACCCCCCCCCCCCCAAAACAACAACAATAAAGCCAGTGTTTACCTTCTGCAAACTGTGTCTGACTTCATGGGGGTTGCTTGACTCAGGCCCTCAATCTCTCCTGTGAATGGAGGCACTAACTGTGGGAAAATTAAAGGCGAGAATGAATATAAAATGCCCAGCACCCTGCCTAGCAGGCAGCTGGCACTCGGTGATTAGCAGTTCTCTTGCCCCTGCCTTCTCAATGTAGATCTCATCGTACAACCAGTGCCTGCCTCAGTTTCTCTACTGGTGAAATGCAGTTGGCTGCTGTCCTTGTCCACTGCTCTGGCAAGGATGCTGAGAGTAGCACGTTGAGAAGTGGATGTGTTTGCCAGGGCTGGGCGCCGGCTGGCTTGTGTGGGGACCCGGAAGCAGCTGGTCATGGCCAAGCCCCATCAATCATGCTTGGGTGGGTGGCTTGCAGCTGGATCAACCCTTGGCAAAGTTAAGTGGGTAGAGTTTGCCATTGTTTCCACCCCTTGGGAGCCCTGTGCTCCTGCTTCTCTCCCAGCTGCTTCTCCCCCTGTCTCATGAGCCCTCTCAAAGGCCAGCGCCTGCTGGGGTGGAAGCAGGCTCCTCAGAGGATGGTCTGGGCATCTGTGCCACCTGGATGTCTATTAATGATACCAATTTCACCTCCCACCTCACACCCACTCAGAATGTGTGCGTGCAGACTCCAGATGTGTCTTCACAAGCACTCCTGGATTATTTTTAAGCACAATGAAGGCTGAGAACTGCTGGGTTCAGAGGTGCTAATGGTTTGACACAGTGATTCTCAACCTGTTCGGCTGCTCCAGCACTGTTCACATGTGCAGCACACACCCATCCTGGGGAGATGAGTGCCTGGCAGGGGTGGATGGGGTATTGGAATTTCTAGTTTGGCAAAGCCACACTGTTGAGTCTGATACACCCCAGCTTCAGTATCTTGACTTCTTTGCTGGGTGACATGCATTTGTGAGGGAGTGACCTCTTAGCAGCACTTGGCTGGCATGTCCTTGGATGGCTTCTCTGGCTGGTGTCCACATATCTGTGGAGGAAGTGCCCTGCTTGGCCCCAGCCTAGCAGTACCCCCTAGTTTGCCCATCCATTTCTGATGATTGGGGGAGTCTTGCTGTGTTGTGCTGTTAGAACCTTCTGTGTAGTAACAGGAGAAGCCGGTGGAGGAATGTAGAGGGACAGTCCAAATGGTGGCGCTGGTTGGTGGAGAGCAGCCTTCCAGGGGTTCTTGTCCATTCATTTATTCATGAATCCACATATTAACAAATGTTTACCCAGCCGCTCCTGTAACAGTCCCCAGTCCCCATGCTGCGTTCTGCAGGGGGGCTGGTGATGAACGAAGCCTCATTTTCCTTTAGAGTCTGGGTGATAGAGGGCAGATTAGGATGGGGTGTTGGGGCCATCCACTCTGGGGGACCCCTGCCTCCTTTGCACACACCGAGGCTTGGCAGGAGGCATGGGAGGTGCTGATGCAAGCAAGGCAGCATGTTTGCAATATGGCTCGTGGCTGCTGCAAGGCAAACTTGATGTACTAAGTGATATTAAAAATTCAGCTATTTCTGATAATTTATTATACACATTCTCGTAAACACATTACACTCGTCACAGTACATTTACGAGTACTAGGCCCAGCGGTGGGGACAAGTTAACACTTACCTAATGATGTTTTGCAGATGTCAAATGCTTGGGCGCCACAGTGATGGACGAAATGGCCCAAGGGGGGTTTGTCTTCTCTTCTGTCCCTCCTGGGATCCCGCCAGATCACAGGTCTGGGAGCCCTTACTTCACCCACTCTAGCTTTCCAGATGAGGAATCTGGGGCTCAGAGAGGTGGAGGGCTTGGTCCGAGGTCTCATAAAGCAGACCTTGGCCTCATACTTACATGTGCATCTCTTGATATCTGGCCACACACGTCCTGGATGGAAGAATTCTCTGTCCCTCTACACTGGCCAAGGTCAGTGCTGCCAGGAGGAGAGTCCATAGGAGAAGCTCACCATCTGAGAGGGACCTAGTCTGGGGTCTGGCTGCCTTGGCAGGGGGTCAGATGTCACAGAGGGATGATGCTGAGCCCAACTGGGAAGCTCCAGGAATAGCCTCTGGGAGGAAAGGGTGTGCCTTGAGATTTAAGGGACAGCATGGAAGACTGAGTCCCTGCT